CTTATTAAGCTTGATCCAACTTGTCAATGACTAAGTGGGGTTGATAAAAAAAGGTTCTCAATAGTGACCAAAAACTGTTATCAGAATACAACATTCTGGATGGAGACAAGATCATCTTCAAGGACCTAGGACGTCAAATCTGTTGAGTATCTCTAGAATCTCATCCTCCTGCTTTAGACTGATTCTGATTGATTCCTTTGAACAGCATGGAAGACGGTTCTCTTGATCAAATACGTAGGTTCAACTATGTAGATCGATGATTGTTGTGATTGGGATTCTGATTCAAGTCTACTTCGCTTTTTGGATTTCACAGCTTGGACCTTTGATCATTCATCCTCTATTTTAATTGCAAAAGTGAGCATTCACTTCATGACTGGATCCTTTCTGGTGTCCTCTTTTGTTTTTTTTCCTTTCAATTCATTGTTTATATTACAACTTTCTTTGCGCATATCCCTGTGCAAATGAGTTTGATCATGTTGCGTTGCAAGCAACAATGAGCAACGGGCACCGCAACGGCAAGCAATGGGCACGCAACTGTGAGCAATGCAGCGGTCAACTCTTTGCTTGATGTGTTGCGGCTGGGTGGGTGAAAAAGCCATCTGTTGTGTTGCGCGCAACGGCCGTTGCTCACAATGCAACACAACAGTGTAGTATTTAAAGCTCAACAAGAGCTTTACAGCACCTAAGAAGGGATGATCTACTATGTGTAATATAGTAGAAATTGCCTTTGTACTGACTTCTTCAAAGAAACCAGCACAAGGGCACTTGCTGACCACTTTGTGATAATAGAGAAAAAGATAAAGGCACCAAAGAAATAAAGCAATACTGTTGTGTAGTATTATTCCCAGATTTTAAGCGCAAAAAGTCCACACACTATGTTATTACTAGCAATAATTTTGTTAAGTATTATTCCCAAATTGACTTATAGTATTTAACACACGTAAATAAATTTCTCCTTGCTTTGAAGGGGCGGATTTAAGTGATCTTAGTACAAATATAGTAAATAAATGATGATTTAAAACACTACAACAAAGGTATAAGATGCAGAAAAGGGAACAACAATCCCAAAATCATCAAGGAGTACTTATATCCACATGTAACAACCACTACAATAGTCAACAGCCTAAAAAAACAGCCAAATCCGCCTAAAGAACCCTAAAAACCATGTAATGACGCAATGTAATGATCTTGTTACCAATGTATGATGTAATTTTCACAGCCAAAAGTGATCAATGACACAATGATTTAATGTACAGCACTTCTTAAGATGAATACAGGTGATTTTATCCTTGTAAACTAGCTGCAAACCAATTTTTGAGATTACGAATTTTTCCAGATGGGGTCCAATTTTGAACTACTATAGTGAATCTTGTAGCCCTTGTGATACTTATCATTTATGACACCCATATGACATATTTCTGATGAGGTCTGAGTAAGATATTTAGTTGTGAAGTTAAGGTTTTTGGTGTTACATGTTGACTTGTGACTGTAAATTCAAGATTCACACCAATTTCTTATTTCCCTTATAACTCTTTACATACACCTCCTTTACTAATGGTTTAAAGGTTGTACATTATGTAATAAACTCTTCTGCGTTGAATGAGCTATTTATCAACCTAATCTGACGTCATTTGGCATATGTAATTAGCTGAAAACCTCCATTTTCGACGAAATTCACCCATTTTCTTCACTTTTCACAGCTCCTACTCCCTTTTCCTTGCTCATGAAATATGTCATCATCTTCTATAGCCTTAAAAATCCCGGGGAATCCCCTTGGCAACCGTAATTTCCACTACTACCACCATTACATATGTAAACTACACGTATAACCCTTGTTTACCATCCTCAAAAAAGTACCTTTCTGCTAATAACTTCTGTTTTTCCTTATCAACCTCCAAGATTAAAATCTTTGCTGTATAATAAAATGTTGTTCTTTCATATTCTAACCTCATAATACCCATAACTTTATTAATAATACCCTAAAAACCATTTTCCAACTTTTACACCTATATTTTCGAATTTTTCTTATGTTTTCTTTTTCTGTCTTTTTGTGATAACTTTGTAAGTAAACTATATTGATCTTAAGAATATATTTGAAATAAGATGACATAATCTTGAGTTAATAACTACACATAAGCCTCTAAGAGCTTCAATTGATCTGAAAACCTTCATTTCAAATTTTCTACTACACTGAAGTTCTTAAATAATTTGATAAAGTTATAATGATTAATTTTATTGATCGATCCCATAAATAGATCACCACAACGGCCCATTGTTGGTTGAACTAATGGTGATGTGAGTTGAAGTTGGGATGGGGGGGTATTGAAGATGGGACTTGTACGATTTGAAAAAAAGATGTGAGATTGGGATTTTGGGCCAAATAAGTAGCTTATTAAAAAAATAAGGAGCTCAATGGCTCTTTATTTTAAGTAGCAATATAAGCTAATTATTGGTACCGTAAGTAGATTTGAAAAGTTCTAAAAATCCCGTGCCAAACGGGCTTTTCCAAATTCTACTTATGAAAGTCAAATTTTGACATAAGTAGCTTAATTTAAGCTGTACCAAACAAGCCCTTAGACTTTTCTTTTCTTGATTAACTCCTTTTGTTATCTCAATTCACTCATTTCTCTTTTTTGTTTGATCAAAAATTTCCTCATCTTGGAAATATCATCTTTCAAAATTGTCAGACTTCATTTCTAGATTTTTGTTCAGATTGTTTGACATATCCACATTCCTTTCCAAGGATGTGACACTGACAGCATGAAGTCTTTCTTTAGCTTGAAAGAGTTTTCACACTGCCATTCAAGCTCATGAACCACACTTTTGAATGAGTGTGAAGTCTCTGACATAAGATATATTGAAGGTAAGCTGTCCCAGAATCTCTTCATTTGGATCAACTTGTTCAGAAACAATGTAATCAGGAAATCTTTGCTTCTACTTCAGAAGACTGATCTGACGTCAAATCAAGCTCAAGAATCTGACTTGTGAGACACCCAAAAATAGCTCAGGAGAATTGGAAACAATGTAAGTCATACAATGCTATTGGTGTGCATATTATTTGTAGAATAACTAAAATGGGAATGGGTGTATAGTTCTAAAGCAAGAAGACAAAGAGTCTCAGAAATTTGTAAACTCGTCAAAGTCCCACGCTGTCGCTTGCGACTGAGCCCCAGCAAGGACTCAGGACAACAAAGGCTCTCCTGGCCTGTGAGGGTCAAGCCTTTTTGGTGGAGAGCCTCACAGTCCTTATAAAACTTTGCCCCCTGATTGTGAAATTTCTTGGGCCAAAGAGATCGTTTGTGTGCGGTTCTTAGACGCACATATTGATCAAAAAAAGCCTGAGGAAGTCAATCCCCTCCCATCCATTTTGGCTCCAGAAGTTAGAGATTTCTGACCCTAGTGTCCCTGTATTTGTATGTAACACTAATTTACACACATGTTATTGCTACAAGAATGACACATATCCCTCAAAATTCACCGACTTTTGGAGCAAAAATCTAAGGGAGGGGCTGGACTTCCTTGGTATTTTTTTGATAGATGCCTGTCCTCGTCTAGAGTCGGTATCAATGGAAATTCAAGAGAAGTCATATGTCTCACAATTGTCTTCTCCCATGAGATCCTGCTTGATAGGTCTCTTTGGACTTATCCCTCAACTTCAACATTAACTTTCTTTGGACCAAGAAATTTCACAATTGGGCAAAAATGTTTTCTAAGGACTGCGAGGGCCTCCACCAAAAAGGCTTGACCCTCACAGGCCAGGAGAGCCTTTGTTGTCCTGAGTCCTTGCTGGGGCTCAGTCGCGAGCAACAGCTGGGGACTCTGATGAGTTTAAGCAATTTGATGTATTGACGACTGATCACTGTGACATAATACTGTTGAGTCCTGTCACTGAAGACTTTAGTAGAAATATAAGCAAGTTGTGGAATAATTTGAATAACACTTGTGCAGGAAGTGTAGAAATGAAGCAGAAGAGAATTATACTCATCCTTCTTTACATTGGACAGCCATACACTTTGAAAATTACAGATCTTCAGGAAATGTTAGCCTGTTAATCAGGAAAGATAGAACATACTACAATGATCCCTCCTTCTACACAGTTATTGGAAACCTTGATGACAGATGCAAACAATTTATCAACCAGGAAGTTGATAGCCCAAATCAAGGGATTAGAAGAAGACGGGTGAGTTGATAGGTCCTTCATACAAGATGGATCACAAATTGATGACAAGTTTGTCCCAAAACCAATTACCCAGTGAAGTCCACACAGGCATCAGTGTTTATGCTTGGGCGAGCCATGAGATCAAGGCTATTGTGGAAACACCACAGTGCTTATCCCTGAAAAGAAGGAAATGTAGAATGGGGTTGTGCCCCAAGAATTGAAGTTTGAAAAGCAAAAAAAAATTGATTCTTCCAAAACAATATAGATACATAGTCTTCAATCTCACCATTCCAAAACCACTTTTGGAATCCAAAAAAGGTGAGCTTTGGCGGAGGCACTGCCAACATTTTCACCTTGGATCTCACAATCCGAGGCATTCTTGGGTCTAAACCCTCCAACAGCTCTTGTCTGAGGATTTGATCTGTGCCATTTCATGACGCATAAGATTGCCTTGGATTGAAACCTCGGACAGGATTTATCTGATGATGCCTTGGATTTCTCAACCTGAGGCAAATATGTTGGCAGTGAGGGGATAGGTTTTAGAGATCCAATTCAATTTCCTTATTTTCAGGGGTAAGCACTATATTTGCCTACATTTGTTTGGTACAGAAAAATTACAATAAGCCAAGATACGGATTCACCTCTACAACACTCATACAAGCTGGGTTATAAAGGGGACATCTGGTAGACATTGGAGTGTCTTGGTGGTGTAGGCAATAGAGGGGGACCACATCATCCAGGACACCTTACACAAATGATTTTCAAATAGGCCCTACATACCAGCTCAACATTTGGGGCGAGGAACTTTCTCTACTTTTTGAAGAGATATAATGATCTGCTCAGAACCCCTGAATCAGAGTACACACAGAAAGTTTTTATTCAGAAATCTCTTCAAAGAAAAATAAATGAAAGTATCCCAATTGGATTTATATGAAATTATTTGAGATAATTGAAACTTTGAAATGTATTGTCCGCTGCAGCAGTCCTGATCTGAAACCTACTACTTATCCAGGATATCTCCTGATACCAGACTGGTATGTAGGTTATGTCAAGTGATACTTACAACTCTTTGCTAGTACATAAATCATGATAAAATATTAAAATCTGGAAACAAAGATTGAAAATAGGTTGATCTGATAAAACGAGAGATAAACTGATTTGGTGACGTCTTTCATCTATCAGTTGATTGAGACATGTGCTAAGAGCTGAGCTGTTCACATGATGAAAGTCCATGGTACGCGTGGGCTAAATTTGAAAGCACGTCAAGTGCCTCAGTGACAAAAGAGAATATGGTACATCCTACCTGAGTTATTGATAAAGTATTCTCAAGCTGGGTAGAGGAGGAAGACCATTTTACTTCAAATATCCAGATGCGGGGATTGTTTGCCATGATGAAGGGTTCCGTCAGGGCTGATAACAAAGAAATCTCGGGATGACCGATCCAGCCTGGGGTCACTTTTGTAAGTAGACCTATGGTTAATTGTTAGTCCACTGTGACCCGAATAGAAAGAACCATCACACAACTTACGTGGGCATTGCAACGAAAAGAGATCCAACGGGTCGTGGAAGATTCTCTTGTGACACATAAATTTCTTGTATCTTCAAAGTTGGGGGGGATGATCCTTTGCTGGGAGCATTGGTCGCGAGTTGTTCGTCTTCTTCCCACCGAACTGATTGTTCGCGAACAGAGTTAAATTTGTCTTGCGGATATTTTTGAAGCGCGTATCCATTGAGATTAAATAATATTCTGCGACCAGAAGCTCATGTCAATGAGCAACTGACTGTATTAATCAAGACAAGATGCGATTGAAAGTTACTTACATATTACACAAAAACCCAAACGGCAGATGTAATCCCTGTAGTAACCGACTCAGCTCACAAGATCAAGATCAAGACAAATAGGCAATATCGAGATGCTTTCACGTACAACATAAGTCAGAATGATCCACTTCTCGTCTTGCAAGAAATTGTCACCCCTCATGAATGAAAGCTACACGTACGGACGTGCATCAGCTCATTGGGGCTATGTAGAATTCGCAGCGCGAGATGAAGATTTATGAAGCCTGGAAGTCCTCCACTTACTTGAGTAACAAGGATCAAAGTCGCGCTTAAAGTTCCACTGAACCACGCAATTGCCTGCCAGACAACAGTCCTCCTCTGTGACCGGGTCTTAGAGACGGTCCTTGATAATCTATCGCGAGATTCCCCCTCGATCTCCTCCAAAGGAGCGCACAATCTCCGCTCAAGATCAGATTCCGCGTATATCCGATAGAAAGATACCCAAAGGGTAGGAAGGTAAGTCTTGAAGGTGAATTCACCGTTAGTCAAGCTACGTTCAGATTTTCGAATTGAAGCTCCATAGACGTACGATAGTGAGAAGAATCAAGACAGCCAGATGGCAGATGATGCCGACTCGGGTAAAGTGAGCACTCAGATGCTTGATATACGATTCAACGCATGATGATGTAGCAATGTCAGCTGTGTAAACAATCACAAAGTGAGTGATCATTGACTCACCGCATGAGGGACGACTGCCAAGGCCGGGGTCAAAAGTGGCAGAATATCGAGGGTACTGTACGTTTGAGGGTTGAAGTGACGAGCTTTGGAGTTCAGTTCTCCGACAATTGCGTGCAAAATTCTTTTGGCTGAGTTATACTCGATATCAGCTATTGCGTAGAAGTACACAACAAAAACTTGAAAAACAAAATGAGAAACATCGCTTGAACAAAGTTCAAGTCGCCAGATCTAACAACGAAGCTAATAATTGACTCACATGATGAAATCAGGATGACCGCCAAAAACGAGACATTTGCCCACCATCGCACTATCGGATTTAAAGTTCGGTTGTGCTTCTGGTGCAACGAGGCGGAGGGGTTATGGGGTGGTGATGCGTAGAAGTGTGATGCGACTTGGCACGCGCAGACCCAGACAAAACCTAACGGGAACTACATATGTCAGCAGAAGTTCCCGGGATTAATCAAACCTCAGACATGTCAAACGTACACCTAGAGTAAAAACGTTGCCAATGAAGATGTGATTAGTATGTACTCTCTTTTCCTTTCAGCAATCTTCGTTCTTCCACTCATGCGGGACGTACCATGAGCTAAACTCAAGTAGAAGAAACTTGCAGCCGAAAACAATCATTTCTACAGACATGTCATTAATATACCTGGCGTTGACCAATTCCAGAAAAATTATGTCAAATATAACCACTGAAAATTTGACGGACTGAGGTCAAAATTACGCGACTTGTGCTACCTACCACTTCCTCACAGAGCTTCATGAAGACTAAAGAGAATGAAAAATTGAGACTCACATGGAGCGTAAAGGATATGCACAATGGCCATCACGACGGGGAACTCTACCTGGACCAAGCCGACTTTGTTCCCGAAGATGAATGAAATTCAAAGTCGATTTATGGACTGAGTACGCATTGATTAACGGGCTCAAAAACGTACGTCGACAAAATGAAACCAACGTGAGATGCTTGGCTTGGACGTGAGTGTTCAAGAGCTTCACAGCTTGCATAAAGACCCTGAAGTCACGCCGTGAAACATAGCGTCTTTTAGATAACTTTCATTCACTTGTGTCCATCAAAGCCATGAAAGATTCAAAAAACTCACATGATGTATAAGAAAATCGTACAATACTGTATCGAGGTGAGCCAAGGTGGCAAGTGAGGGAGCTGAAACACAAGTGGGCATTAGCTGAGTTTTTTATCGATATTCAAAAAGAGCCAGGCCCGTACATTCATCAAAGCTTGCATATGATGTGCTACCTTGACGTATGGATTAACATTATGGGGGATGTGGTTGACGAAGTTGATTGTAGCCAACGCTGAAGAGGCCATGGTATAGACGTGCTGATCAGATCCGACTGACTGGCTGAGAGTTGGAAGAAAATCGCATATGCGCAAACGAAGTGATATGCGTAAAGTACAGCTCTGCTTGACACTGATTGAGGAGACGCAATGACTTGTTGTAACTTGCATGTGTTAAAAAGGAGCAGGTCACCGAAAGACATACCAACATTTACGACGCTAGCTCCTCGATCAAAAATCACAGGCCCTCAGTCTGGCTTGCTGCATTCAGAATATAGATGAGAACAAGAGGTCCAGACCTGTCCAGACTCACTAATTACATCCTTCATGGCATTACGATGACCAATTGAGGGCGTTTTGGGTGTGTGGGTGAATCGGCTTGTTACGGTGGCCGTGGACGGACAAATCGGACAAAACCCAAAATATGCAAAAATTGCCATACAGTCCATCTCAAAAGCGCTCCTCCGCCCCCCGAGCCGAGCTTACTAGGCCCGTCCCGCTGTGCTACACGTCGGTACATCATTGGAAGTATACCTTTTGTACATTGTGACCCATTTGGCAACTCGCGGCGTAAGAATATGATGAACTTTGAAGTATGATCACTCGGGTCAAATACAGTGGTCTAATCCAGTGGTCCACCCGATCCTTTGAGGAAGACTTGCTGACCTGCGGATTTCTGTCTTCTGAGTCTACCATGGCACTCTTTAGGGACTGGGCGAAGTTCGGACGAGCACAGGATTTTGCCACCTGAATTAGCGCAAGTATAGCAAGGAAGTTGTCCGAAGAGATTTAAACAGGAGGAACATATCACTGACCTTTCGCATGTCCAAGTGCCCCGTTCAAAATCTCATTGGGATGACAAAGCTGAGTCCGGGTTCATTCCCAAGGCCATATTCCCACAGACCCGATTGCTTGCTCAACTTCTATAGGATGTTCCAACGTCTATCTCGCAAGGGGTTCTTCATGAGGACCCCAACCCAAAGGTACAAACTTCCTTTTCGGGCTCCCCCGTGGGCACCACCACCGGAGAGCTCAGGGCCACAGCCTTATCTGTGAAAGGTATATCAGGCAATCCTGATGCGGTCAGCCTAAGGCTTTTGGCTGAGGAGTAGGAAGTTTTGGATTGGAGAGCCCATCAGATGATGGCAACCGGCTATGCGCCACCCTATTTTTTTTAGTCTCATGAAGTTGACTAATAAAAATAGGGAATTTTGATATTGATTCAACAGGGGCTGGATTGCTTGCGATAGTATTTCAACTACGGTTGAATTGGATTTTTGCAGCGCTTCGCCCAGTCCCTTTTGTTTCAATTGTCAGTGGAATTGAGGAAAGCGGGGTTGAACAATCATTACATCCAGTTAGGATACAGTCGACTCCCTCGAAACCCATACCCCTCTTACCCCATACTCCCAGTTAATCCATGGAAATTTCAGTCCATAAAATTGGTAGATTGCCCTAAAATAACTCCCTTGAAAGCCATAAACCCACAAAAGCCATAGCAATTGGGGTCCATAAAAAGGTATGGATTTTGAGGGAGTCAACTGTATTGTGTTCGATCTCGATAAACACCAAAACAAGATAGATATTTTGTATTTACAAATTAAAAGTCTTTTTCTTTCATTGTCTTTTTGGGTTGTAGCTTACAAGGTTCAAGTTTCTATGAAAAGAAATCAAAACTTTGGAAATTGAAATCAATATCCTAATGAGTTTGGAGGAAGAATACCAACAATATTAGCTTGTTTGTGTTTTTGATTGATTGCTTGATCTGTTGTTGGTTCATCAGTTGTTGGTTTACTATAATTTCTTTGAATGTGGTTAAAGTGATGAGTTTTTTTGAATGTGATCAATCTTGTAATGTTGGAGATCATCCTGGAGAAGTTGATAATCGGAATGGATGCGATTCAAAACTGAAAACTATCCAAATCCAGCTTTAGGGGTCTAAATCTGAGTCAACATCTTCATTAACTAATCGAAATGAAAACGATCGAAATGAAACCGTTCATTCATTTCAAGACCATCAATTACAAAAGACTCGGTGTGCATGTACAGAAAACGTGTTTCCATCAAACATAAAAGTACGTTTTGGCGTAGTTGGCAAGTCGCGGCAAGGAAATTGTTAGCAAAAGTAAAAGTCACCTAAACACAAACTAGACCCGACTTGAGCAACGGACAAGTAGGCGGGCGGGGAGCAATAGTCAGGGTCGGCAGACGCCGAGCAAGGCTTTCGAGGGGGGCTGTATGACAATTTTTGCATATGTTGGGTTTTGTCCGATTTGTCCGTCCACGGCCACCGTAGCTTGTAGCCCTGTGCCGATACTCACAGTTGATCCAGAAGATGGTCGCATCCGCGAAACTTTGGGAACATTCCCTACTTAGCTAGGAACTCGCTCCATGTGTATTCCCTTTGCGTCAATTAGATTTCACACAGTACCGCAATACCGAGGATGTGTTGAATTTTACACACAACCTCATTTATGAACAACTGCGCCCGTTTCTAAAGACGCGCTCACGGAATAAGGGCTTTCTAAGTTGAGCCCGTTGTCCACTGACCTAGACGCACCTCGACCGTAAAGATGTGTTCTATCTTATCATCATCGGATTGTTCAGGCATCTTAAAGAATAGAAGTGGATGTATCACAATTAATAGTAAGGTGTTCTCACTGTTCAAACCTGTTAAAGCAACTATATAGATCATTTGATCATTTGCTCGCCAACGCATTCAGTATCATGTCACCATCTTTGTGCTATCCCGTACGTCATACCTGATGCACATTGAGATCAGACTTGAGATCAGACTTGACAATCAAAACCGAGAGCAACAATCAAAAATTTAGACGAAGAGAAAAAGACTCCAACTCATGCCTATGTAATCTAACGATGCTGAGGGAAATCGATATTGAAATCTTTGCCATGAACTGCCGACGCGTTCCCAAAGCTCTGCGGATGCGACCATCCCCTTGATTAATATGCGGAGAACTTGAGAGATGTCCCTAACAAAACAAAATGAGATAATCGGCCGTGTCCTCCATCGGTCTAGACTTTTTTATGTAGAGGGGCGACTCCGAGCGTGCAGCACGCAGTTCTGACCAGCACTGGCAGGAAACATACCGAAAAAGAGGCTTGCAAAGGTCTTCCATTCTCTTTTTGTGGATGAATATCAACATGCAGCTATTTGGATGACTCACGACAAGGCATTTTCGCTTATGTAGTCAAGCCGACTCCAAGGAACAATGGGCGAGTGCGGTGCATAGGTCAAAGTAAGATAGCTGGCAGAAGCCTTACAAGACAAAGGGCTTCGCCTTCAGATTTTCTCGAGCGCTGCACACCATAAAATTGTGGAATGACCGTAAGGCTTTACTGACGCTTATTGGTTGTCTTTCAAAGTTTCATTTACTTATCATGGTCGACAATGGAGCAGCACACATAAAAATCTTCAGATCAAAGGTAAAACACATGTACACATCTTTCTATGCTGCGCTCATCTGATGAGAGATCATATTAAAAAACTGCAATAAAGATACCAGTCTGAATGTTGAGGGAAATTCCAAATCTGCTTAGCCTATCGACAAAACAATCTTTGGGTCCAAGATCGATTTCTCAGAAATATTAACAACTTTCTCATCGCGTTTCCTTTTGTTGTCAACCGGGCCAGCCGGCTTGACCTGCTTCGCAGCATTTCTCTCTGTATAATCCCAGCGCATCTCAATGATTAGCTCTCCATCAGTTTGGCGTCGTTGGTATCAAGAAAGTGCTCACTGTGATGGTTGATAGTGTGCGTTGACTCCACCTTGAGCGAGCATAACTTACAATCGACTTTTTTGTACAATCACAATGTCAGACTCCAGACAATTTAAACAGGAACAGCAGACTGTGACTTACTTGGACTACGCTTCTTTTGCTGCGTTCCAAGAGCTGCTTCACCAGAGTCTGAAAGGAGGAGATTGAGAGATTTAGGCGAGCGAGCTTCTTTCACGCGATTAGCTTGGAGACCTGGTATTCACAAGTAAGTCAACTGTTCAACTTCTTCTCACTATTGCTTTAACAGTCCCTCAAAACTGTAGTCGAAGTCAGAGAGGATAGAAAGAAATTCACCATTCTTGTGCAAAGTCATAGGGTGACCGCTGGCCACGTAGCTCGAAATGAGAAGGGCGCAAGTGTACGATAAAAACTTGCTGGCTAACATCTTCTTATAAGGGTATATTAAAGACTTTATTTGAATGTATTCTATGGGTAATGTGAGGTTGAAAGATATAAAGATATCAAATAATGGATTCGAGAGAATGCTGACCGACGCTGATTTGATGAGGATATTGGAGACTTGACCCAAATGTGGACCGTATTTATAGCTGTTGGAGTCACTTGGACCGAGTTGCAAGGTGTTCGTGAAAAGGCCCAGTCTCAAGTTTCCTCTCGCGTGCCAAACTCTCTCAATGCGAAATACAATGTATGATCCCTGTGAGTTCAACCTTCGAAAGCATGCGGGCTTGCTGTGTCGGTTGATCGTCCGTTGCAAGATGTCTCAAGACTTGGTAGAGTCTGATACCCCCAATCTGAGATCTGCCCAATCTACTATCATAACTATCATAAAGATTGACTTGATTCTTCCCCTACCTTTGGATTGACGGCCTGTCAGTCCCACGTCTTTTTGGATTGTGAAACTCCTAGAGCATGGGTCTAGAATGCTATGCAGATGAGCTAAAATGACTATATCACTTGAACACTCGGAAATCAATGCGTGTACTCCTAGGCTCAAGAGATCAAGCTTTGCTTGAAAAAAAATACCTCAATCGGATGTACTGACGTCCAGATACTCGTGAGCGTAGCGTTCCCAAGTTCAGATGCAATCTCAAAATTCCAGCTTACTAATACAACATCGCTCATACATTTAGCCGCGATGAACCGGTCATCGAAGATGGCGTTGCAGAATTTCTCCAGAATGGTGTCCTGGTGCTCCTATCATTGATGGCGAGTCACCTGATTGGTTTGTCCAACCAAAGTCTGACATGCTTATAGAACCAAAAGTTATATAGCTCTGGCGGCCGACACGATCTCCAAAATCGCAGACTCGCGAAAGGAAAACTGACGACCTGCACATTCCGAACTTTAAGTGAACGCTGACTGCGTCGATGGTCACGGAAAAGATGCCGTACCTGCAGGAGGTTTAAGAGATCCAGGTTGCGATGGTTTTAAACTTTCACTTTTGCTAAGATGTCTCAAGATTCAAGAGATGATGTGTGGCATCTTCACCTCCACACTTTCAACTTTATGAGCTCAGGTATGTGTTTTTACGAAACCGCATGGGCGCAAATAACGAATCAGTCGTCACCATCAAAATCCCTAGATCAGTTTAAGTCAGTTCAAACTTCTCAAAATCCTATTGATCTCACATCCACAAGCTCTCTTATAACCTGGATACCATCTCAAGGGTGGCCATAACGCTGAAGTTCAAGCACCAGGTCAGGATCATCAACATTGAGTGTGTATCTTATTGATCTCACATCCGCAAGCTCTCTTATAACCTGGATACCATCTCAAGGGTTGCCATAACGCTGAAGCATCAGGTTAGGATCATCAACCCTGAGTGTGTATCTTCCGGCACTGGGACTAAACACTTTTCAACTTCATAGTCTCGTCACGCTAATCCCGAGTCCAACCCGCCTTTTGTACTTCACCTCTGCTTTTCCAAGATGCGATGTCTATCCAAGCCTATCCTAGCGCATATACCTCGTATGGATGGGTTTTTGAAAATCATCTCTTGGACTGATCGATCCTTTCTCGTTGATGGCGTGGACCAATTGACGAGAGCAGGTCAACGCTATCTAAAATATGTGAACTTTGTCCATAATTTGCTGACCTCAACAAATGCCGAAGCTTTTGTACCCGCCAGTATATACATAGATGACTGTTCTGCTGGGTGCCTCTGCCACCCATGTGATGCCACTATTTCCCGCTAGAGGTTTATGAGGATTTTCCTATTTCTGAATTTCTGGTGTCCAATCCAGTCATGTCACACTTCAGGTCCTATGTCAGCTCATATTCTGGCCTGTTAGCCATGTGAAATGGACTCGTGACAGAGAAGCTTATGTACGTATCTGGCTGTTAAGTCTTTTCAGGCAATTCACGGTACTTTCGAGAAAGCACCGCAGAATCAGATGACCCCGTGAAGGCTGTGTAATAAATTGTATGTAAATCAAAAGTCCAAATTTGATCGAGCTTCCAAATCCAACGAGTCTGCTTCATCCTTCCAATTCACCATCACATCATGTCTTATCTCATCAGTAAACCATTCGGCATCACCACAAGACTCGTTCATGAGTCTTCTGCTGCTCAACTATATTCTAAAAGACTCTTTACTACCTCGAACTACTCGTACAAAAACCTTTATTCAACTTCTTACAATACCCCTTCACTAGGGAAGATTCCGTCACCTTCAAAAATCGGCTACCGAAACTGTTTCCGATCTTTCACAAATACTCCAGCATACGCTCCCTCAAAGGTATTTCAGAAGAAGAACTATAAGCAACTCTTTATAAGCTCGGCAGCGGTCATCGGCTCGGTAAGCCAAATCATTCGAAAAAAATCGCGATTGCAAAACCTGCAGATCACATAAGCAGTAGCTGAATGACCCTCATTGTTTTTGCTATCACAGCTCGTCTTGATCGATGGATTCCTAAACCGTGATAAACGTGCTGAACCTCTCAGCGCGACAGAGCGAAATTTGTTGAACAGTACATTCCAACATACTGGTGTCGGCCTTACTATCACTGCCCTCCTTGCAAAGGGTATGTTCAAAAATGGATTGACTGCTCGAATGATGAGTATGAACCCCTTAATGGTCGTTGGGTGAGTTCAACGGGAATAAAACATTTGTCCCAAAGAATCCTAGCTTCCTGAGTTGATTACTCATCAGTTGTTTTCGGTCATTTCATTCAGGCTTGGTCTTGCGGGTTCAATCGGAACTATGTTTTGTACTCTACGCACATCACCTGATAACACATTACAAAAATATGGATTCTGGCTCGCGTTCACTGGTTGTCAAGCAGCTACCCTCTCCCCACTTTACTTTTATTCGCCTGTTCTTCTCTCCAAAGCTGCACTTTATACGATTGGTATCATTGGTTCTTTGTCATACGTTGGTGCTACGGCCAAGACGAATCAATATCTCTATCTAGGTGGACCATTGCTGGCCGGTGTCTCAGTTGTCGCCTTGAGTAGTTTAGCACCACTCGTTCTTCCCGTCACAGCCGCTCGTACATTAATGACCACTGAGGCCATCTCTCTATACGGAGGTCTCGCAGTCTTTTCTGGATTTGTCCTATATGAGTATGTTGCCATCTCGGACTCTTTGATTATGGTGTGATTTTTCACTAAGACTGACACCCCATTCTACAGCACTCAAAAGATTTTGCATCATGCCAAGCTAGTGGAGCATGGACAGATGAAGGCGGATCCGGTCAATGAGTCTGTAGGACTGATTATGGACTCCATCAACATCTTCATCCGACGTAAGTTGAACATGTCATCCATCGTATATATCTTATACATACTGAAATTCGGATCTTCACTTTCTGCTCTGTTACATCTCTTCACCAGTGGTACAAATCCTCGGAATGCAATCTAATCGCAAATGAATATCAACACATCAATCATCCTTGACATGTGTTTGAGCGAAGGATGATTGTCATTTTTCAATCCTGTCTCCTCTCAACTAGAGCTCTGTATTTCCTCACGACTCATCATATTTGTATTAATTGCATAGGATGTCTGATGTACACCAAGAAAATCGGTATATCTGATTCACATGTCATCCGATACAAACTTGTAATCCAATCAGTAAACCCCCACTCAATTCATGTAACATCTTGATCTTCTCTTATGAAAATTCGACACGTTCGATCCTATTTACCTTATTGCTGTATCAACCCATAGAATCAGCCCTCTAGCACATAAGCATATGACTGATTGAGACTTTGCGAGACCTTGAAATCGTGGCTGAGTAGTAATGTAGGCCCCTTCTCATAAGGTTATGAAGAAACTGAGAAAGAAGGCAAGCAAAGTGTTGTGTTGAAAACCTGGGGTGCTTTCTGTTTCTGAAGAGTTATAGCCTCGTTTAGTCATCCATCAGGAAAAACGTTGGTGTGATCTGATTGTGCCTTGAGTTTTCAGATAAGGACCAGTGACAGCCAATTTGATGAGGATTAAGTTTTTGGTCTCACAATGCTATTGCGAAGGTTGTATTCAACCAATTCCTTCTGACTTTTTCATTTCATTCTCATTGATCAATCCTCCATTATTACATATCTTATGAGGTCATTCAGTATTTTCATTCTTTTGTCTGTGATCTTCTTCAACCGCTTTGGAAGAGTCTCTCAACTTTTCATCATTGGCCGAGGCTTGAATTAAAATCGGATGGATTTGTAGAGATTTGGACAAGTCAATATGGATATCATCACGCCGACGTTGGGTTCTTGGGTGTCGTGTTAAATCGAACGATGGCTTGCAGTTGGTTTTTCGTCCTTTCCATGTCTTCTTCAATCTGACGTCATCAAATGAACCGGTTTTCAGTCAAGTTTGGCGCAATTGACAGATTCCCTTTGACTCATAGGTAACCCATCCATAATTTTTTTCAAAGATGGCTTCAAGAAAAATAACATTGATACCACAAGCGCGCATTACATGATCGATCGGATCAGTTCGGTAAATGTGGTGTGATCCGAATGGAAGCTATCAATCGATAGAAAGGCTTGTTGACCGAAACAAAAGAAGGCTTGTTGGTCGCCGACGGCGAGTGGTGAAGTAAACTTTTTCATCTCAATTCATGACTTCATCCATATCAAGAACTCAAAGAAAAACCAGATGACGTAGTTTGAAGAGTGGGATGTTAGACCACCGACTCTGACCGGCAATCTGCCATCTCTTGAATCACAAGGACAGCTATATAAATGTATTCCATCTTGCGATTTATCGAATCCAATCCTTTCCTCATCCTTGCCTTACTATTTATCAACTTAACCCACATTTCTATGAGTTTATCCATCCCATCATCCAACTTTTTAACTCTTTACCCAAGTTGAATTTCATCTTTGATCTCCAACGTTGTCTGCAGTACTTCAAGTTTTTTGTTTGTTACCTTTATTAGATTTTCTTTGCTCACTTTACCTACCCCTTCTTTAACGTGAACTCGACGAGTTGATCTCGTTAGTTTCAATTTATTCAATTCTTAACTTATTTCAAACACGCCGAGTTGATCTCGACAGTTTTCACCAATCTCAAGCGGACAAATAAAGTCAACAAAAAACTCAATTAAACATGATTGGTAAGTTTTCACCTTGTTCCGATCTATAACAAAATACACGTTTGCTAACCTTTGGATTATCTTCAAACTTTTTCTCGCGTTCTCATCTTGTGGACTTCTCCGACTGCCACTGGTTTTCGAAACCCGCCACAACAGCCGGAAACAGCTTGATGCGTCTCCCGCAAGAACCACTTGCGGTCAACAATCCCTTGATGGGATTCACCACATTTTCCGCGAAGTTTTTCGAAGTCAGAACTTGGCTAGGTGTGACTACGGAACCTGTGCGGCTCAGCACCTCGATGGACTCAAGCCTGGACAGCTCGACAATGTTAAGATTCAACAAACGAGAAGATGAACCCGCGGAACGGCCAACCACTGATCAGCAAAAGCCGGAGAAGCAGAAGAAGAAGCTAAAGACGAAAGTCGAGAAGAAAATGGAGAGTCAGAGCAGGCCACGGAGAAATGCTACCATTCCCGATCACCCCCACGACAAATCACTACATGGGCCGAAGCGCACGAAAGAAGATAGCATGGCATTCGACGGGTCACGGCACAAGAACAGGACGTCGGCTGAAGCAACTCATATGATACATGCTCCCAATCAAGCTGATCATACACACTCGATCTCAACTCACGATTCACAAAGCAAGCTGAATTTAGGAAATCTTACTAGACTTGATTTGAAGAAGACTAAAGACGGACGCCGGAAGAAGCCATTCGGTTACGACCTGACCAACTCCAAGAACAGGAATCAAACCATGAATGGATCAACTCACAAGTCTTCCCGTCCTACGAGCCAGCCGAAGCACATGATTCAGGCGTCGAGTGAAGATGAAAAGGCCAACCGGACAACTTCCTCCCACAAACCTGCGCCACAGAACTCTGAACTCAAGCCCAAGAAGAAGAAAAACGGACAAGGCGTGATGAAGAACCAATCGAAGAACCAGAACTCCACGTCATTCGACCCCGAAATCCACTCTTCAAGAAAATCGAAACACACGGCGGAAACTTCGAACAAAGGCGCAAGTTCGCGAAACATGACGACCAACAGGACGGGCAAGGACAAAGGGTCAAAGAAAAAGATGACCATGAAGAAAGGTAAAGCTCACAACTTGACTTCTCCGTCTAACTCTTCTTCTAGAATTGTTCCAGGTCCCAGCGCGCCGGTCAGGAACGAAACACAGGTTCCAACGCCTGTTTCTCAAGCACCCATCGAGACTCCTTCGCCGTCGCCAACGACTTCCGAGGCCACTACCGAGGCCACCCCCACAGCAACTCCCACCGCTACTCCCGAATCCGCTTCCAGAGCTGCTCCAGACGGAGCCGCTCCCGGAATTACTCCAGGAGCCACTCCGGAAGCCACTCCAGACCAAAGTCCGCAAGATGGACCAGCAAGAAACGACGGGATGCCGACGAGTAGCAAGAACGATACAATGGATCAAGACACCCAAGCCGAGAAACCGAAAACAAGCCAGGCTTCGCCGGATCCTATGACAAGCTGGATCATCACGTTCAAAATGAACGCCACGGAGGGTTTGTACTTATCTTATAAAGTCGATTTACCCATTCTACATGATCTCTGACATTGCTTCTCATCCATTTGGAAATTCAACTCAACAGAAGGAGTGAATGAATACGAACAAAAGCTGAACGATACAGGTAAAGCCATCGATATTGGTCCTTCAGATACTTTTTTGTGTTGCTGAATGATATATTTGTTAATTTTATAAGGGGCGATCATCAAGTACAACTACTCGCCAGTTCTGAAAGGTCTTGCTGCCTCGGTACCTGATCGTAGCTTTACGGCACTCTCGAAAGACCCGAACATCGATTCATTTGGTAAGTCATTTATCCTGCGCCTTTTGTTTTGTATCATACAAGATTAGGTCTCTTATCTCTCAGACTGGTTCATCTTTTGGATTTGCTCTTGAAACCAGACCCGGATACGGTCATGAGCGCGCAACCGAACTTGGACGGGGGCGCAGTAATGGGTGATTCCGACGTGGTGTCTGAAGACGGTTAAGGATGCTGAAGAGCATCGGGTGAAGGAAGGATTCCAGGGTAGAAGAATCCTTTTGAAATCACCTTGGTTTTCTATCTGCCTTGTTTTTATCTTTGGGGAAACGTATTGTCTTGGTAAAGTTGGTAAAATTGGTATCATTTGGATTGGTTCTTATTATTGAAATATAAGTCAAAGATCATATGTAATGATCTCTGGATTGGAAAAAGATTTGGTATACTCTTGGTGATATATGGTTACAATGATAGCTTTCACAAAATGTAATACATTGTAGTAGATCTGGGAAATAGTTTTGGAGGATACAATCTTTGATTGGTAATTTGGAATCTTTAAAATGAAAAATTAGATAGAATTCGAGTTTTGTTTAATGATCTACATCATTGATGAGTTGAAGAGATGAAAAATTTCAATATTGCTTTCAAATCCTAAGTCCATTGCTTGAGTTCCGAGAGGTAGTAATTTTAGGTGCCGAGCAAAAATTGGGGCGAGGTTGGATTACATATTGTGTTCAGTAAGGACAACCCTTGGCCACATATATATTTGACTCGGCAATAATGTTAAGAGGAGGAGAGATGGAAGAATGGGAGGAATGAGTGTATGATTGAGAGAAGACGTTATTGGGTGAACAGAGGCATCAGCAAAATGATTGCAGGGCAGCAGTCAGAGTATAAATAGAGCACCACAAACAGAGCAACAAACCTCAACGTTCAGCACACCGCAGGCAGGAACTGGTCCCCCACAAGCAGATTGTGTTGAAGGTCCACCTTGCCCATCGCCTCGCTGAGGCGCTAAGACAGAGATACTGCTTGAGGGGGGTGCTTGCACATTAAGACAATTAATTATCAAGAATTTTTTGAAAATAAACTACTTACCAGAACATCTTTGAGAGAAATTAAGAGAAGGAAGGACATGATCATCAGTTGATCAAAAACAAATTACAGCCAATTTGAGAATATTGTTTTTGAAAACACACATCATGGTGAAAACCCTGGGTTGCTATCTGACCAAGTTTGGTTTGTCTGTTAGTTTTGAGAATACAGAGAGTACAATACCTGTAAAAACATTTTTTGAGAGGATTTGATCTCTGCAGTAATGATTTTTTTTGCAAAGAAAGTGGTCAATCATTCTCAATTTTGGTGTATCTGACTAGATGGATGAAAACATGTAATCATGGTGATGTGAATCTAAATGATGAGGAGGTCAACTGTTCAGGAAGATTTAAAGTAAGACTTGATTTGTATCAAGAGTTGAATGATTTGACTCTGAGTCAGGCAACAATCAGAGGTCCTTTCTGGAACCAACAGAAGGTGCAAGAGCAATCACCCCAAAAGGGTAATCTTTAACCCATGATTATTACCAGCACTTAGCATAGTTTATGTTGTAGCCCAACATCTCTATATAGACTCTGCCTGCTTTCTCATGGCTACTGACTCTTCTATTTCCCCTTGTCTCTTGTTTCCCATTTCTGTCAACTATTGCCACCAAATTCCCATGCCATGCATTACTCAATATGCAAAGCTCACAAACAAACTTGAAAATCTCACACAGAAACTCACCAACACACCCGGTGACTTCTCCTTACTATACTCAAAATACCTACACCAACTCACTGTCAAATATTATCTGACCTGAAAACAAAATTTTGATTTGCCCCTATCTCAAGGGGCACATCGATATTGTTGTATTTTGGACATGGAGATTACCAAACAGCAAACCAAAAGAGGTCAACCAACATCTGTTGACCTCGTGATGATCATATTGCTGTTTGGTAACGGCCATATCAACTTGCATCCATTTTTATTTGCCTCAATCTTTTGAAACGGTCATCCAGACCTTCATCATTTGCATCCTAAACTTTCCTTCTTGTGTTGACATCACACCAAAATGGTTCAAATTGAACAATTGATTTCACAAGTAATAACAGATTTGAAGATTTAACATAAAGGAACAAACAAAAAACAAAAAGAAACAAAAGAAACAAAGCAAATAGAAACAAAAAAACAAAAACAAAAACAAAAACAAAAAGGAACAGAAGAAAGGAAAGAACAAAAAGAAAAGAAACAAAACAAAAACAAAAACAAAAACAAAAACAAAAACAAAAACAAAAACAAAAACAAAAACAAAAACAAAAACAAAAACAAAAACAAAAACAAAAACAAAAACAAAAACAAAAACAAAAACAAAAACAAAAACAAAAACAAAAACAAAGAACAAAAGCAAACAAAAAACAAAAAGAAAGACACAAAGACAGCAGAAAACAAGTTGATTGAAGAACTGCTACACTGCAAGGATGGCTAAGCAAAGGTGTGAGGATCAAAGAGGAAAACAGGTGCGTGGAATGAGGAAAGGAGCAAGAAGTGGTGGTTAGATGGGGGTTGAGGAAGGGGCACATCGAGATATTGGCTCAAGATACAGCCTTTTGGCTGTATCTCAATATGGACCAATATCTCGATCTTGATGATCAGATACTGACCTCAGATATTTGAACCAAACACCAATCAGATTTTGAATATCTGGCAGAGTTTGGACCCAGATAGTATGTGGCGCTATGTATCACTTTTGGTGTGAAATTTCATCAGATAGTATCTGCTCACGGTGTCCGAACGGGCCCTTACACACAGACCAATCCCAATTGACCTACCATTGATTCCTTGGCTTGTAATTTTTTCCCCAAATCTCATCAATGAGGCGTACATGTTACAAGCACTTACCTCAACACACTACGCCAAATTGCAAATTTACCGTGGAGTTTAGAAAATTGAGTAGACATAGAAAATTATAGAGAAGCTGGCAAGGGTCAGAAAAATATGAACAAATAATGGGAGGGCCCTTTGATGCATTCTGATTGTCTGGCATATTTTTCATATTTTTAAAACCACAATGCATATAACACTACACAAAATATAATATCTCCTGGGCAGAAAATATAAAAACCAACAAACAGTGATATTGAGCAGTCTTGGAGAGAGACAAAAATACACAAAAATATGCATATTTTTCCTATGGCTGAGACCTTGGATTTGAGTATTTTTTTGTATTTTTTGTGTGAGAATTGTTGATTGTACTAACAAAAAACCTCCAGGATTGTTAGATTACAACCTGTAACAGACATTGGAGGGCATAATTTGAATTCAACAATCCCTTATATCTTTGTCAATTCTTGGTCAGACCACTTGATTTTTTGCTCATTGGAAAGCCAAACTCTGTGACTATATCTTTCATTGAGACAAAAAACCTGCATCTAATCCCAAAGAATATCTATGTGGATATATAGGAAATTGTTTCGAAGACAAATAGGTTTTTTTGTAGCGGAGCTACAGATTTGATGCATTAACATAACATTCAAATGCATTTCATGGCTTCCTAATCAGATAACTAACTAGAGGAAGGAGAGGTGAAGTTTCGACAGAAATAAATTATGGAGACGGTGAAGGAAACAGCGGAGAGACTGAAGGAGGAAACGGTGGTAATATTGAGAATAGAGATGGCGGAAATAATGAAGAAGTTGAAGGTAGAAATGTAGGAGAAGGAAATACAAACGAAAACAATGAAAAAGACATAGGAGGACTTCATCCTACAGATAGGATTCAAAATCAAGGATCTCAGCAAGTAGAAACATTTGAAAGATTGATAAATGATCCGATTAATGATGGAGAAATTGGTAGAGGAAGAATGACTGGCTTAGGTTAGTACTCACTTATTCGACAGATTCTGAATTTGTGAAGAGTATTTCGATTTCCTCCTCCCAAACCACAATTTCCCCTCCAGTCACCCACCATCACTACACATTATCTCTCATATTCATCATTTCATCTTAACCACGTCCACTCATAACTCTTCAATGTCCCCTCGACTCTCCAACTTTCCACTTCCTAATTTTTGGAAACTGGAAACAAAAGGGAAATCAGCAGATTAACCCAAGGGAAATCATATGATTAACCCAGACGTTGAATGAAAGGAAATCGAAAGATTAACCTAATTATAACGGAAATCATTAGATTAACCGAATAAAAATTAACATGTCGGAAAGGAAATCGTGATATGATTAACCTGAGACAATTGTCTAGTAAGGAAACCAAAATGGTTAACCTAGGAGTGAAGGGAAATCAAAGTGATTAACCCTACCAAAATTATCTTATCACATCTATATTCTGTAAATCCAAAAAAAAAAGAAAGAAAGAAAGAAAAGAGAGTGAAAAGCTTACGTGTTTGGAATGGTCTTTTACGTGCTTGAAATGATCTGTTAGGTCGAACAGTCGAAGATATGAACGAACCAGTGATAATCGAACTGACCCACAAGAAATGGCTTCATAATTTAAGATCATTGGCGAATCAAGGAGAAATAGCTAGATATGACTTAATGCAGAGAGAGTATGGGAAATGGTGTGATAAGAATCAAACCCAAGTTCGTGAGATCGACCTATTTGATTTAGATGTTGACACTATCAATACGAAAACTACAGAAGTTACGGAAAAATCAAAAGAAGTAACAAAAGTAAAGAAAGACGTCAATACGAATATGGAATTAGGAGAAAAATTAAGAAATCATACAATAGGCCTTTCACCTTACTGGCATGAGATTATGATAAATAAAAATATTCATATGCCAGTGTCAATTTTTGATCCGAAATGGCTACTACAAGATTCCAATTATGTGAGAAGAAAGGCAAAGACGACTACTTGTCAGGCAGATACATCAGCTTATACCGGATCACCCGTCTTAAATGAATATTGCCTATCGTTTGCTGAGTGGCTAGTTAGATTTAATTTAATGATCAAATATCAAGAGACAAAATATGATGTACTAGAAAGTCAAAAGAACTCACCGATAGCACCTAGACTGATTGCTCATCGTGATAACTGCCTGCAAATCCAAATTGATTGTTACGGGAAGTGGCCGACAGCTATGCGGTACCGGAACTGCTAGGACTTTGTACAGCTTTTTTCTGCGATCACGTGACCCGAAATTTCAGCTTCGCCAACCCATTCTCCTAACTTTTTCG